AAAAAATGTTCACAGTCTCTTGTCATAAGGGAAATGCAAATTAAAACCACAATGAGAGGGACCAGCAGATGGTATAATGGTTATATTGCTGAACTCCCACATGGTCAACAATGCTTTGAGTCCCGGACCCGGCAGCTTGAAACTCATGCCAGGCACGTGTGCATGTATGCCCAAAATCCCAAGAGAATAGAAGAGAAGGGATTGCAGCATGGCCATACCCCACCCTCTAGGGAAGTGATTTCTCACTTTCTGTCTCTCTGTCTTTCTCTGTGTCTCCGGGGAGCTCACGTGTCCTATAGCAAACATTTCCCTTAAAAGAAAAATAAAAAATAAATTAAAAACACAATGAGATACCATTTAACACCAGTTAGAATGGCTAGGATCGGGACCAGCAGTTAGCATAATGGCTATGTCGCTGGACTCCCATGTAGTTGACCACAGTCTGAGTCCCGGACCCAGTGGCTTAAACTCACGCCAGGCATGTGTGCGTTCATGCCCAAGATCCCGAGAAGAAAATGGAGGAGAAGGAATTGCGGCGTGGCCATCCCCCTGGGGAGTGATTTCTCGCTTTCTGTGTGTGTCTCTCTCTCTGTCTCTCTGGTGAGCACACGCAGCCTATAGCAACAACCTCTCCAAAAAGAGAAGAAAAAAAAAAAAAGAAAAAAAAAAGAATAACAAGGAGAAATAAATAAATAAATAGCAACAAGTGTTGGTGAGGCTGTGGTGAAAAGGGAACTCTCTTACACAGTTGGTGGGAATGTAAAATTAGTCCAACCTCTGTGAAAAACAACATGGAAGTTTCTCAAAAACCTACAAAAAAACTTATATATGACCCAGTAATCCCACTCCTTGGTATTCACCCAAAGGATAGGAATACACTCAATTGAAGAAACATTTGCACATTCATGTTTATTGCAGCATTACTTACAATTGCTAAAACATGAAATCAACCTAAGTGACCAAAAATTATCACTGGGTTGAAAAACTATGGTGCATATATACTATGGAATATTACACAGCTATACGAAATAATGAGATACTATCATTTGACTCAAAATGAGTGAATATAGAAGATTTATTGTTGAGAGAAGCAAGCCAGACTTTGAAAGGTAAACATTGTATATCCCTACTCAATTTGTACTGAGTGCAATCGTAGACAGTGAGCGACTCAAAACTGTAATGGGTGTAATGCTAGAGACTGTAAGTAAGGAGAGTGGATGGTAAAGAGTGGGTGGTAGAGAGTAGATGTGAGGTACAAGGGGAGGAAACATTTGATGGACAGAAAAGTGCAAAACAAAAGAAAAGAAAAATAGGATATGTTCATTATGAAATTAACTAAATTACGTGTGTAGCAGGTTATTTTACACATTAGTTTAATTTATGTTCATTAGGATTAAAGTATGCATGATGATGACTCATTCCAATAACTATTGGATGATAATTGTTGAGTGTCATATATTTTTCATTTGTATCCTTGATTATGTCTTGATTGAATAAAATAATAATAATAAATATAAAAAGAAATTCAGTTCCTAGGTCACAGTGGTCACATTTAAAGTGCTCACAACCTCAAGTGACTGGTGACTTCTATACTGGATAATACAGTTTCATCAATCATTTCTACAATCTCAGAAAGCTCTTGGAATGGTGCTGCTCTACAAATACCCCTGTAATCTAAATCTGAACATTAGAGTGTCATGAAACGTAATGAAGCATCTGGGCTCTGGTATGACATATAAAAGTGTACCCGTCAGTAATGCAGTGCTACTTCTACCTTCCCAGCTATGAGGGTTCTTCAAAAACTCATGGAAAATGCATATTATTTTTAAAAAATGTTTAAATTGCACAATTCTTTGCACCAAAATAAACTCAACTTTAATTCCATTTTTCCTCAGACTTTTTTCAAGACCCCTCATAAGCTGAAGAGTGTTGACAACATCAACCATCTGTCCTAAAGTCTACTAGTAACTAATAATAATAATAATAATAATATCATAAAGAATAAAATAGTGAGAAATAAACTTAACCAAGAAGATAAAGAAATTGAACCCTATTGCTGGAAAAAAAAAAAAAAAAGAAAACCTAAATAAAGGAAAGTCATTCTGTTTCCATGGACTGAACGACTCAATATTATCAAGATGGCAATACTACCCAAAGTGATCTACATATTTAATGTAATCCCTATCAAAATCCCAAGGATGTTTTTGAGGAAATAGAGAACCCATATCAAAATATATATTGAATCTGAAGGAATTCCAAATAACCAAAACAATCTCAAATAAGAAAAACAAAATTGGAGGACTCACACATTCTAATGTCAAAACTTACTAAAAGCTACAGAACTCAAAACAGTATTGTAGTGGCATTAAAAAACACATATAGACCAGTAGAATAGAATAGAGAGCTCAGAAATAAACCATTGAATATGGGGTCAAATGATTTTTTTTTGGGGGGGGAGAGGCTTTTTTGCTATAGGGTGCATGCGCTCACGAGAAAGACAAAGAGAGACAGAGACACAGAAAGCAAGAAATCACCCCCCCCACACCCAGAGGGGATGGCCATGCCACAATCCCTTCTCCTCCATTCTCCTCTAGGGATCTTGGGCACGCATGCACACGCGCCCAGCATGAATTTAAGCCACCAGGTCCAGGACTTGAACCATGGTCGACTACATGGGAGTCCACCGACATAGCCATTACGCTAACTGTTGGTCCCAGTCAAATGATTCTTTCTTTTTTTTTTTTTTTTTTTAGAGAGATTTTCACTGTAGGGCGCGTGCGCTCGCCAGACAGACAGAGAGAGACATAGAGACAGAAAGCGAGAAATCACCCCCCAGGGGGGATGGTCACGCTGCAATCCCTTCTCCTCCATTCTCCTCTCGGGATCCTGGGCACGCACGCACACGCGCCCGGCGTGAGTTTTAAGCCACCGGGTCCGGGACACGAACCGCGGTCGACTATGTGGGAATCCAGCGACATAGCCATTACGCTAACTGCTGGTTCCCCCAGTCAAATGATTCTTGACAAGAGCTTTTACGGGAAAAGGGTAGTTTTTTCTCAACAGATAATACTGGGAAAAGTAAACATTCATGTGAAAATGCTACATATGAAATATAAAAATTAACTTAAAAGGATCAAAGACATAACTGTAAGACTTGAAAGTATGAAAATCCTAGAAGAAAACAGGAGAAAACCTTAATGGCATTGGATTTGGCAATGATTTGGCAATTAATATGACATTAAAAGTACAGACAATAAAAGAAAAAATAGATTGGGGACCAGCAGGTGGCATAATGGTTAAGATGCTGGACACTCCCACAGGGCCAACCACAGTTTGAGTCCTGGACCTAGTGAATTGCTTTCTCACTTTCTTTCTCTCTCTCTCTCTCTCTCTCTCTCTCTCTGTGTGTGTGTGTGTGTGTCCGGTCAAATTATAAATAAATGAATAAATAAAATTAAGTAAATAATTCTTTTTTAAAAAATAGGTTAATTAAACTCCATCAAAATAAAAAAGTTTAGTGTATCAAAAGACATTACCAAGGGACCAACAAGTGGCATGGAGGTTAAAGCAGCTGGATTCCACATGTCTGACTCCATAGTTTGAATCCAGGACCTGTGGGGGGTTGTTCTGTTGGGAATAAAATAAATAAACTTTTAAAAAGCCACTGCCTTGAGAGTGAAAATTCATACAGAATGGGGACAATATTTATAAATTATATACCTGATAAGGGATTAGTATCCAGAATGTATAAAGAACTCCTACAACTCAACAACAATAACAACAAAATCCAATTTAAAAATGAGCAAAGGAATAAATAGATATTTGTTCAAAGAAAATAGGTGAATGGACAATGAGCTCATGAAAAGATGCTCAACATCATTAGTCACTGAGGAAATGCAAATCAAAAGTACAAGGTGATACCATTTCATACCCATTAGGATGGTCATTCTCAAAAGAAAAGAAAAAAAAAGAAGGAAAACAGCAAATGTTGGTAAAGAAGGTGAAAAGTTGTAACTTTTATTCCAATTCCAGGTGAGACTATAAGGGAGTGAAGTCACTATGGAAAACAGTTTGGCAGTTCCTCAAAAAGCTAAACATAGGATACCATATGATCCGGGAATTTCATTCCTAAGTGAACCAAAAGAAATGGAAAGCAGGGACTAGAACAGAGACTTGGATGCAGTGTTCTTAGCAACCTTACTCTCCAGAGCTTAAAGGCAGAAACTATCCCAGTGTCTGTCAACAGACAAGACGGGTAAACAAATGTGGCATATATGTACAATGGACTATTATTCCATCATTAAGATAAATGAAATTCTGACCTATGTTACAATGTGGATAAACCTCGAATATATTATTCTGAAATAAAACAAATACGAGAAGACAAGTATGATTCCACGTATATAGGGAGCTGCAATAGGCAAATTCGCAGAGACAGAATACAGTTAGAGGTTACCAAGGACTAAAGGGAGGGGAAACAGGAGTCATTGTTTAATGTTGTGGGTAATGAAAAAGTTTTAAAAACTTAGTGTTAATGATGGCACACTATGAATGTAATTGATGCCAGCGAATTGTACATTCAAAAACCATTAAAATGGTAAATTTTAGGTTACAACATATAATTTAGGTTATTTTGTCGCAACAAAATAATACTAAAACTAAAGCGAAAAAATATGCAGACAGAAAGTGAAAATTCCAATTCATATATTGCACACGTAAAATTTTTGCACTTGGCCCAGAGAAAAGTTAAAGAAATACTAAGGGACTTGAAAAAGTTCATGAAAACTGGAATTACCTTAGGAGTTGATTTTGGTAAAAACAAACTTTGAAATGCACACATAGTTTTTTCATAATGCACCTTTTCCATGAACTTTTGGAAATCCCTTATAGTAATAAATCAAAAATTGGGATTTTTTAAAATGTGAGGGCAGAAGCTCCTGTCACGTCTCTGAGAGGAAGAGGAAGTCTCTGTTGAAAAGGCACTTTCAGTTCGTGACCGAACAGCAGCTGCGCTGACTTGCCTTGAGGTCTCCAGCACCATCTCCACCGCTGAGAGCATGTTCTGGCTGTTCCACTCTCTCTCATTCATCTTCTGTCTCAGTTCAGGTAAACGATGCTGCAGACCCATGTGGTCACTGAGGGACTACCTGGCTTTGTGCAGCTTAGTCCTTCTAGATCACCTACACACAGCTGTCTGGCTGGCTCTCTGCCAGAGGATCGGGTGGGACTCACACTGGTGCCTGACAAACTGGTACCTGTTCTCAGCTTTAAATGCTACGGGCCTGCGATGCAGAGTTAACGGCAACTATGTCTGCCTATAAGGGATTTATTTGGTAGGGTGTGGATATGAGCTTTTGTATGACAGGACTGTTGAGGTTTATCACTAGCTTAACATGGCATGAAGACTACCCAGACCAAGAAACTGAGTCCTCACGCCAACTTAGCTACTGTTTTACTGTGTTGCCTCGGGTGGGTGATTTGTCTTTCCTGAGTCTCACTATCTTCATCTCAAATATTGAAAACCTATGATCCAGTTTAGCTGAAATGTTTGAGCCCTATCATAAACAGTAGGACTAGTCCTCTCACCTTTTGCTAACTGAAAAAAAAAGGTCTTCAACTCCCCCTTTTTTTTGAGACAAAATGGGCTCAGTTCAGCAGTGCTTAAATAGCAATGAGATGGGAATGAATTGATCCAGCCTGCTTCTCGCTCTCTGCTGTTGTTTTGAAGAGAACACGAAGGTTTGGGGAGGCACGAAGGGTTCACTGGGGCTGAAATGTAGCCTTCGTGGAGAGATGGAGCACAAGACCATATAGGAGAGCTTAGCCCAGAGCTCGCTCGGGGTAGTTGATAAAAACAGCCAACATCCGTTGGGTGCTTATTTTGTGTCAGGTACTGGGCCAGGTGCTGTGTCAAAAGCCTCATGACAGTTCTATGAATTTATACTATTAATATCCCCATTGTAAAATGAAGGAACCAGGCTAGGATGATTCAAATGACCGGGCCAGAATTCATCAGCTTGTTTTTGCAATAGTTCTGAGAAATTATGACCCATGAGCAAATGCGGCAGCAGCACAAGAGAAAGAAGGGGCCGAAGTAAAAAGGCCATGAATGTAAAATGAACTATTTGATGAACTGGCAATGAGGGTGAGGAGTAAAGAGAGTTCCTTGAATCCAAAGTAAGCAGCCACTGAGTACCCGGCACTGTTCCGGTTTCTGTAGGTACATCAGGAACAAGGCAGGCAAAAATTCTGCTCTCATGGAGTTAACATTTATCAGGGGAGAGAAATTCTAAATAAGATAAATAAATAAAATGGTAAATTGAGTAGTGATCAATAATAAGGAGGCTATAAATCCAGCAGGGAAAGGGGATATGAAACATGGAGGGCAGTAAAATTTCAAATACGATAACCAAAGAACTTAACCAAGCTTAGGTGAGAGCAACCACAGGAAGGAAGGCAAGTGCAGTTTGGGGCCTACTAATTTTAAGATCTCAGTGTGAGAGCCACAAAAAGGTTTGCCCAAAGCAGTTTGAAGCTTAGGAGTAGGACAAGGGTAAGGCTGGAGATCTCAAAGTCAACCGCATAGAGAGGTTGAGTGACACTAAGGAGGAAAGTGGAACAGGGGCAGAACCCCAGGAAACACACGTACGATGCAGAAGGAAGGGGAATTCTCTTGTTCGCTCAAGAGCCACTTCCTGACATGGGACCAGAGACACGAGTCTTTGCCTCATGTTTAACTTCTCGCAGAAGTGAACATACCTCTAGAGTTAAATATTCTGACTGCATTTGTGTTCAAATTGCTCTCCTGTCCCAGCCGCACTGGCACACAGCGCCAGCCCTTGGGGAGCTGGAGATGCACGCGAGGTCCAAATTTGGCTCCCAGACCAACCTGAACGTGCTGGGTGCCTATAATCCTAGCTGTGAGACTGGGGCAGGGGGATTGTGATGTGGTGAGACCCTGTCAAAATTCTACTCTTTGTCTCGCACCCGTTCCATCTCGCTCTCCTCCTCTCATTTGAAAACAGAGGAAATGATGGTGGTGCAATAGTAAAATGTGGTCATCTGTGAGACAGACCCCAACGGGAAGGTTCTAGGTTTACATCTGGAGACCTTCCGGAATACACGGGACATATGCTTGCTCATGATCCAGGGCTTCCTGGGGCTAGGGTCGATCACACTGTCATGACCCTATCGGGGGTGCTGTATCTCTCTCTCTCTCTCTTTCTCTCGTACTCATGAAATAGGTAAATGAATTTTAGAAACACAGTTTTTTAAATCTTCTCCCCATTTCCATGGATACTCCTTGAAGTGACCCTACTATGCTCGGATACAACCCCACTTAACAGATGAGAGAGGAAGGCACGGAACTCTTAAACTGGCTTAATGTGGTACAGTGGGGGGTGGGCATAGAAAGAGAAACGCACTTGAACGTGTCCGCAGCAGGCAGACGCAGGTGTTCCGAGGGCCAAGAGGAGAGCTGAGGCTGCCAGAAGAGGAAATCAGAAAGCCTGGTTGCAGTCTGTGCTCATAACCACTTCACTATGCTACTTAGTTTTCACACAGTTACACACTCACACAAACATACGTATAATGACAAATGTGATGGCTAGAAAGAAAACAAGCAGTATAATCTGGTAAAGGAAAACAAGGGGACCTGACTTGAACTGGGTAATGAGGAAAAGACTTTCTGTCAAAGGACCATCTGATTTGAGATGAAAGGGTGTGAGAAGTTAAGCAGGGGAGGAGTTAGATGAAGATTCAAGATGCCTTCGAGGTAAAGAGAATCAAGTGCGAAGGCCCTGAGGCACAGAAGGGTTGGAGTGACTGAAGAGGGAAAAGAAGATCTCTCTGGCGAGAGTATGGGACAAAGGAAATCAATCCTGAAAACAAACAAAGAAAAATGATTCATGGGACCAGCAGATGGCGTAATGTACGTCACTAGATTCCCATGCAGTGGGTCACAGTTTGAGTCCCCAACCCAGTGGCTTAAAACTCATGTCAAGCATGTGTGCATGTGTGCCCGAAATTCCGAGAGGAGAAAGGAGGAAAAGGGATTGAGGCATGATCAACCCCCCGGGGGGTAATATCCCACTTTCTGTCTCACTGTGTCTCTCCAACGAACGTACACATCCTATAACAAAAATCTCTCTCTTAAAAACAAACAAAAAGGATTCATGCCAGCCTAGCTGAAAAGACAAACCAACCTGAGAAATAATTTCATTTCCTTTAACTCAAGTCATGGGTGGCTAAACTAACAGAACAAAATAAATGGTATAACTGAAATCAAGCATCTTGATATCCAGGAGAAAATGACTCTCACCTCTTCTTCCATTTTATTCTTTCTAGGTACATAGAAATTATTTTGGATCTTATTAAAATGCTGAGTAGGGGCCAGCCAGCTGGTTGAGGAGCTGGACTCCCACATGACTGACCACGGTTTGAGTTATGGACCTGGCAGCTTGCTCTCCCACATCCCTGGTCAAAGTAGATAATAATAATAATAATTAATAAAATTTAAAATAAAGTAAAATCATAGGATGGGAACTAAGATTCTTCATTTTTCTAAAGTTAATTTTTTCTGAGAGGAAGTAAGGAAGGAAAGGAAAAGAAAGGAAGGAAAGAAGAAAAAGAAAGAAAGAAAAAAAGAAAGAGGAAAAAAAAGGGGCTGGCAAATGGCTTGGTGGTTGAGGTTCTAGACTCCCACATGGCCAACCATGGTTCAAGTCCCAGACCTGGTGGTTTTCTTTCTCACTTTCTTTTTCTCTCTCTCTTTCTGGTCAAATTAAAAATAATAATGATTAAAATAAATAAAGTGAAATAAATCATTCCTTTTTGGGACCAGCAGTTAGTATAATGGCTATGTCACTGGACTCCCATGTAGTTGCACGCAGTTCGAGTCCTGGACCCGGTGGCTTAAATTCATGCCGGGCACGTGTGCATGCGTGCCCAAGATCCCGAGAGGAGAATGGAGGAGAAGGGATTGCGGCGTGGCCATCCCCCCAGGGGGCGATTTCTTGCTTTCTGTCTCTCTGTCTCTCTCTTTCTGGCGAGTGCACACACCCTATAGCAAAAACCTCTCCAAAAAGAAAAAAAAGAAAAAGAAAAAAATCTTTTTTAAAAAAAGAAATAGAGAGGGACCAACAGTTGGCATAATGGCTATGTCGCTGGACTCCCATGGAGTTGACCGTGATTTGAGTCCCAGACCCGGTGGCTTAAACCCACACTGGGCGCGTGTGCATGCGTGCCCAAGATCCCAAGAGGAGAATGGAGGAGAAGGGATTGCGGCATGGCCATCCCCCCTGGGGAGTGATTTCTTGCTTTCTGTCTCTCTGTCTCTCTCTGTCTTTCTGGCAAGCACACGCATCCTATAGCAAAATCTCTCCAAAAAATAAAAAAGAAATAGAGATAGGAAGAATGAAAGGAAAATAAAGAAGAAAGGAAATGAAGAAAGAAAAAAAGAAAGAGAAAGAAAGAAGAGACAGGCATCTCAACAGGGTCTTCATGCTGCAATCAATCCCCAATCTCAGCCAGCCTGGAGCATGAACATGCACATAGATGCTGACCCTGCATGGGTTGCCCCAGGACACAAACCTGAGACTTTCCCATTGGGTCCAGCATCACAGAGCATTGCATTAGCAATGCTAGCGCAATGTCCACCTGTCCGTGGGCAGACAGGTGACACCAGTCTGTCTGTCCACGGACCACACTGTAAGTAGCAAGTCCTAATTCCACAGGACTCCAGTCATATCGGGGTTGGAGGGAGTGAAAAATAGTAACTAATCCTCTGCGTGTGTTTGCAAAACACAGATAAAGGTTTTCTGAGGTCCGGAGAGAGCAGTGGTGGGAAACGTATGTAGGCCAGTACATGTGGGCTGATTCTGAGGTTTTGAGTCAGAAGAGTGCAAGGCTCTTCTGCTCAAAGATTATGATCTAATAGCTCCACTCCCCTGAGAAAGATCTGCTTTTTAACCAACCATCTGCACCTTTGAGTGTTTAGTATTGCTCATCGGAGGCAGAGAGCTGTTTTACATTTTGCCGTTATCCTCAAAGACCCTGGTGCCTTTCCACCTCTCAGAATTTGCCATCTCTCCCCATTGTGACCTCCA